AAAACGACAACAACAAAAGGCAGGTGAGGTTCATTGAATCTCTCCGACAGGCTTAGACCATATCGAGAAACCTACTTTTTTTTCCACTATGCACTGGATATGTAGTCGATGTGCGCTCGCTAATTATGAGAGAAGCAACCCTTTTTCACCTTGTTTTTTGTTCTTTTCGTTTTACCATCATCAATCATTTTTACAGACTACAAGCCATTTTGTCCTTTCGGAAGACGTTTTTATAATGACTATGCATTTTGAAATTGCTAACAAACCGTTTTTCAAACAAGAATAAAACAAAATTGTCGTCCTAAAAAACTAAGGAAATGATTTCTTACCATCACTTCAACACAAAGACATCTTTGTGAAGATTTCTTCGGTCAACATCTGTGATTTTTTGTTAACGGAGATAGGGCTCTTCAAACTAAGAAAATGATAAAGAAATATTTCGTCAACTTTTGAGTCCTTCGACTTCATCTTGGAAAGTGAACCGAGTCGTTTCGACTGACTTATGTTTGTCAACATGAATTGGAGCGATGGTATCTCTGAAGGCTTGTTTGTAAACACTTCTCGATCAAAGTTCTTTTGTCCAAATAATCCACTGATCAACGTGGACTCGAAGAAAAACATTCATCGCCAGATTGGAATCGCCATAATACAGCCGTCGTGAGTCCAGTGACAATATTGCCGGTTGAACATCTCTTAGTGGCTGGGGTTTCTGCTCTATGGATTATCAGTATGGATGTTATTATTCCTCGAGAAACTGACTCGCAGGACATTTTGTGTACGATAGCTTGCTTTATTAAATTCCTGTTGAGCACTTTTTAGCGTGCCTCATATTGTCATGTGGTTCTGCTCAGTTGGGAGAGGTACGTTGCGATTTTAACACCTTTGGAATACAAGTTAATACTTACAAAGAAACGCTAAACAAGACTTGCAGTAATCGCGTGGATAACAGAAGTCACCACGTCGGTCTTAATTTTCTCAAGAGAAGCCGCTGGTGTCGTCAATACGATCTTTTGCGTTGTCGTCATCATTATTCAGTTAATTCCCTTTACCCTGCTGGTGTACTTTTATTGCATGGTTTATATCAAAGTGCGAAGATGGAACCGATGCCAAATCAGCCAAGTCAGTGCTCTGATCAAATCAAAGATCGAAAGCAGAATTGCCTTCACAGCGTTTCAGCTGACAGCTTCCATTTTTATTGCTATCGTTCCTTTAGGGGCTGCATGCGTTTTAGCACTATGCTCGCCTTCTTTCCGTCAAAACTAAGTTTTGAGATGGGCGGAAATTCTACTCCGGCTAAACTCCCTTGTGAATCCTGCGCTGTATTTTTATGGACACAGAACAGAAAGGCTGCAATTAAACTGTTAAGATTTGGTAAGCAACGGGAAATTCAACCAGTGGTTCATACGGGCATCCGTGAAATACAGCACCGATATTGCTATCTGCCTGTTAATGAGCTTTCCTGCAACGAAAGAGCTCAAGGCTTCACACGGTCACATTCCTGGACAGCGGACACACACATGGTCGCTGGAACACTGACCATGTGTGGAGAACCATTCGTAAAGAGAAGAATGTCATGTCCACCTTTAATCAGGCATGAAAACCTTTGTCAAGAGATTCAGCCTCTCACTGTATCTGTCATGATGCAGGTTGAACTTATACCCAGAAAGTTCTTGTATGTTTGTAAAGATGTTCTGGAATCACGACCGACAAGATCAAAAACTTGCAATAAATACTCATTTCTTGTGCAGGAAAACTCTCTTTACAAGGCTAGACGCAATTCAGCACCAACAGTTGTCGACTGATTGTGTAATCAAGTAGAACCGAGAAAAACTGTTTGATGGTTGGGACAGTAGGTTCTCGAGTGTCATAACACCAAAGCAGGGTAGTAACTAACATCAACCAATGAGGAGAAGAGAACGTACCCCAAACAGCCAATGAGAGCGCAAAGTAAAAACGAGTATCGACGACCAATCGGAGTGCAAGGATCGCTACCCTGATCACCTGGAAAATTATATTAATAGAGGTGACGTACTTGTATCTGATTTAGAGCTCGCTTTTTAAAGCTAGCATTTGGCAACCAAAATGACAAAACAGTCTCCAAACAAAACGAATGTTTGTTGAATATTAAAAAAAAACCAGAAGGATTTCTCACCGATCTTAGTG